TTTTAAGTAGCAAATATGTAGGGCGGAAAAATGATAAAAATGACCCCGTTGCGATTTTATTTACAGAAGGGAAAAATACTCGAGATCGTCCAGGTAGATGGAAATCATACTGATTTATAAATTAATTTTTTTTATTTTATTCANAATTTAATATTTACCAAAATAGTTCATTTTAATCTTATATTCATTTGCTGAGCCTGCTCTTATCGCAAAAAATTGAGCTAAACTAATAGGATCTTCTACTTCCTCAAATGTTTTGCTTAACTTCCCTTTGTATGGTGGGATTATAATAATTGTTGTTGAAATATTTTTTCTTTTGTTAGCCCGTAGATCAGACCCATTTTCAAATTTTGTGAGGATGTTTGAATACGCAGTTGCTTTATTGGTGATAGGAGTTGTCGTCTGCTTTTTTGTTCAATTGGGTTATATTCCTGCTACTGAAATTGACACAATATTTAGAGGCTATTTGCCTTCAAACAAAATGGTGCGAAATATTGGTATCTTTACTGCAACCTCGGCCTTAGGTGCAACTGTTATGGCTCACTCTCTGTTTTCTGGAATCAACTTTTGTCCAAACTAGATTAAGAGAATTTGATATGAGCAACAGCAATGTTCCACCATCTTCCTGAAGCAACTCTTCTCCATCTTTACATAACAGTAACACCGATTTTGAGGAAATATACGATAACTAGGGGCCAACCTCAAACGATATCAAGTATGCGTATAGGTACTCAGTGATTGAATTGGCCATAAGTTTATTTACCTTCGCATTGTTCGTGAACGGTGCTACTTTGTAGGAAAATGAATCCCTTGGGAAGCCCTTGATGATGATCTGTGTATTATGAACGCCTTACTACTGAAGTATTTGGTTCCTGTTGCTGATACTATCTTTATTTTGGCTCATCTTTTCAGTGGTCAAAATACTGGTATCGTCTGCAAATTTTGCGCTCACTGCTTTTGAATGATTCACAAACTGGACTGTCAAAATTTGGGTTGGAAGAATTAACCCAAGACGTATTGCAATTATTCCATTTTTAGCTATAATTTCGCCAATCGAGCAAAATGGATTGTCGTTTGCTTTGTCTGCTTCTCAAGTTGTTTCATCAGTTTTGCTGTCATTATTAACTGCTCCTTCAATTTATTTCACCTACCCAAAAAGACCATGACTGAAAAAGCTGGCATACAATCACCTGAAAATGAATTCGAGAACAATCACAGTGAAGCACAAAACTAGACAACCACCTCCAATGATATTCAGCTACAGAATCTCAGCGCTGCATCTTCGGTTGATGATAGTAGCGACAATACCAACAGCGTCAATAGCAACACTGATTTAGAACGCAATGAAAGCTCCAGGCTCGATATATCAGGTAACTGGACCACAACCAGCATTGGCCTACTACTTTGGATATTCATCACTCTTGTGAAGGTTTATAATATCGTTAATACAGGCGTCAATGGTGGGAACTTGGTCGAATTGGAAGCATAAATAGCAGGACTTTAGCGCTGGGGCTTTCGGTTGAGTCAAAACGTCGCTCTGCTCCATTGCAACTTTCTGAGTGTTCTCACGACTCTCTTTCCTCAAAACCTTCACCTCCTTCACCTCCATAATGACACCAGAGACACCAACAAGCCTTTGCAGAAACTCCCATTAACAAAAACAACCAATGGCGTTAATACCGAAAGTCCAAACTTCATAGATAAAAGCGATATTCATAACAATAATAATCTCAATTTCATAGATAATAATACTTATACAGATTCAAAAAATACCCCAAATAAAGAAAGTTTCTACCTCATTTCTCCTGTCAACTCTCGACCTGGTTTACATTGCATCAAGTCTATTCATAAAAGACCTTCTCCACTATCAAAACAAAAGTCAATGTCTTCTCTAACCTCTCCCCTGATAATTCCCTTAATAATCAAAACTTGAAAAAATATCGTCAATGTGACCGTTTTTGCCTTTTCAAGCTTTACCTGATGGCTCTCATGATTTTGAAGAAACCTTTTCCTATTTTACTTTATTATATGATGTAAAAAATAAAAAAACTCTAAATTCAATTTGTGAATCAAATGAGTATACTTTCAAATCCAATAACAATAATAACAATAAT